GGTGTTAAAGAGTTCTCAACATCTTCATAGGCAAACTGAAACTATGACAAGGGTGCTTTGAAAATGTTAGATTTGAGGATCTGGTGAAGAATGAAGTCAAATTTCAAGTTCTAAAGCCATTCTCTTAATAAATATATATTCACAATGTAGATAAAGAGGGCAAAAACCCATTTTAAGTTGTCCGGGGAAATAGACGGAAGTTGTTAACATGAACCAGACTTTTCATATATGGCAAAAGGCAAAGGATTGTATTGGTGGTTGGTCTGGTCTCATCCAGCAATGATGACCAAAAGAAGTTTTGAGGGACTCCTCAGGAATTAGTTTATTGCTGTAATCAATCTGCTGAGTATTTTCAATTTTCTTGAAGCCAATGTGATGAAATTTTGTTGAAAAGATTTCATGATGCTACATATTCTGGTTTCTTTGGATTGTAAGCAAAGCTTTTTAGGTTTTTGATGCTTGTCACAGGCAGAGTTCATGAAGAACTAGTTATAAGGCCCATTTATATTAGTTTCTTTTCTTTGTAAACAAAGCTAGATTCTGCTTGATATATTTTTACCAGGTTCTTTTGCCGATGGAAAAAGGTACCTAAATGGTCGTGTTTGTCAATTAAACTGTACTCGTGTGTACAAAATAACATGGTTTGGATGGTTTACTATGCTGAGAATTCCCAATCTGTATGATGTCATTGCCAGATTGGCTCATCAAGATACACAAATGTGATTATCATTTATTACACCCCATTGGCCAAAAACTGAATTTGTTTTGACCTTTACTTCAAATGGTATTCCTTCATCATATTCTGTATTGGGGGATTTACCTTTTAGTTTGTATGGAATAAGGTTTTGTTGGTTGTTATACATTTAACTTCTAGTTAAAAGCACATCTGTTGTCTTTGATCTACTTCTGCTCATGTTCATTGAATTAACTGGAATATGTTTGTACTTCTTATCAAACAATTTGAATTGCAATCTAATTTGACTTTTGAGTTAAATATTTTGCAGGAGACATTCATGGTCAATATTCTGATCTTCTTAGACTCTTTGAATATGGTGGATTACCCCCCAAATCTAATTACTTATTCTTGGGGGATTACGTGGATCGTGGGAAGCAAAATCTGGAAACGATCTGTCTTCTACTTGCCTATAAGATAAAGTATCCTGAAAACTTCTTCCTTTTGAGGGGAAACCATGAATGTGCATCGGTCAATCGTATATATGGATTTTATGATGAGTGCAAAAGAAGATTTAATGCGAGACTCTGGAAAACATTCACAGATTGTTTTAATTGCCTACCCGTGGCAGCTGTTATAGATGAAAAGATACTGTGCATGCATGGAGGACTCTCTCCTGATCTGCATGATCTGGATCAAATTAGAAATATGCAACGTCCAATGGATGTTCCAGAAACTGGTTTACTTTGTGATTTACTATGGTCCGATCCCAGTAAAGATGTCAAAGGGTGGGGAATGAGTGATAGGGGAGTGTCCTATACATTCGGTCCTGATACGGTAACCGAATTCCTTCAAAAGCATGATCTTGATCTTATATGCCGTGCCCATCAGGTTTAAAATGTTGATTTTCCGTACTATTCTACCGTAATATACAATCTCTGTGACTAATTAGCCTATTAATTTAATACAGGTCGTTGAAGATGGTTACGAGTTTTTTGCTGATAGACAGCTTGTCACAATATTCTCAGCCCCCAATTACTGTGGAGAATTTGACAATGCCAGTGCCATGATGAGTGTGGATGAAACTTTAATGTGCTCATTTCAAATTCTGAAGCCTGCGGAAAAGAAGCCAAAATTTTGATTTGGGAGCACCGCTACAGACAGCTAAACGAGGAACTCCTCAAACAAAAACAATGGTAAATTTATTCTCTGTCTAGAGATATATCTATAATCTTCATTTAATTGAATTGAACATGTATGAAGAGAGTTTGAGAAGTCGTGTGCAAATAAAGCAAGCACGGAGCCCAAAAATCCGGGTTATGCTGACAAAAAGCATTTTGGAATGTATGCTTTGATAAAATTTGCCCGAGTTATCACTAAATTTAATCTTCACACATTACATTTTCCCTCTTTCTTAACCTGCTCTCTCCGTATGTTTTCAAAGAATATGGAAAAATACATCACAGAATACTGAAACGAAGAAGTTTTTCAGATATCTTTATTTGTATGTTGAGTAAGAAAGCTGTAAGGGTTGATTGGAGTTTTAATGAAAATATGTTTCACTTGTGTTATCTTTGACATTCAAGATTCACGGATTCAAGTCATCACCATTAATGTTGACATTGTTTCTTAATAGTTTTGTGTCTTTAACCTGATCAGCTTTTGAGGGTATAGATCTCCCTCTTCCTCGAATATTATTTCTTTCACCGTGTATAATTGATATCTAAAGAAAGGCTACTGTACTTTTTTTGGTAAGAATATTAAGCCCTTGTTTGGCACCTGTTAACAATCGGTCTAATCACTTTTTATCCACATATTTTGTGGTACTTAGAAGTATTATTCACTTATTGATGCAACACGAAAAGAGTTAAAAGTCTATTCAAGACGAAAGGCTACGATTAAGTAGAATTGAAATTTGGTGTAGTCCTTTTAAGTCGGTTTATCTTTTATTTTAGCTTATCTAGATAGATGGAAAGAAAGTTTGTTTAGTTGCAAAGTCCTTCACCATATAAAAGGACTTAGGGAATCGTTTTCAACAACCTTGATTATAAGAATAAAAATTGATTTCTATTTGCACTGAATTCTTCCCTTTGATCCCCTTCTCTTTAACTTCTTGTTCTTTATCAAGTTTGTGCATTTCCTGCATCAATTTTTGTGCATAATTTTGGTATCAGAGCAATTCGTTTTCCTTTGGCCTACACGTTCTCAAATCAAAACATTTCTCCAATCGTCGCCTTCCACCATCCACCCAAGCTAGAAACGACCTTTAGACATCAAAACGTGAAAAACAACACAAAAAGAATAAAAGCATTCATCTGAGCAGCAGCAGTTTTCTGTTTTTAACATTATCTTATCTTTGTTAGTCAAAAAATAAAAAAAATGGCAGATTGTTCTCTGTGCGTTAGTAGTTGTTTTTACACCCAAAAAAAAAAAAGTTACATTTATGCTGCTGTTCTTCAAAGGTCTCCTTAACCGAAATCCTACCCAATTTTACCACGACCCACCCCGACAACCAAACCTGTACATCATACAAAAAACCCAAAGCCCATTAGATGAGCATTAAACTAAAATCTTAAAGGGCAACTTACAAAATTACCCTTGAAATTAAGGATGTTTTGAAAAATCATATGAGATGTATTTTGAAAGTAAAAAATACTGTTTAAAATTATGTGCCACTTTTTTTATTAAGAAGTAACAGAATCTCACTTTTTTATTTAAAAAGACATACAATGTCACTTTTATTAAAAAAATAATATTTGTCACTCAAAAAAGTGACAGAAAAAAGTAACAAACACTAAAAAAAAGTGACAAAATACCAATTAAACTTGGAATCAATTTAATGAAGTGACACAACCACCATTTCTCATATTTTTCCGTTGAATGTCAAGTGTCTTTAAATCAATTCAGCGCCACCATCATCTACCAACTCAGTCAACACATTGACCACCTCCACTTAATGAAGATTCCAACACGAGAACGAGTTATAACTTTTATTATATTAAACCACCTGTAACTTGTTTGTTATGCAGCACAAGGACCTGAAACCAGTATTCCCTAGCCAACAAGATGGATCATAGCTATTGGTATAATCAGAAGACTATGCTACCTTCAAACCGAAGAATATAATGGAAGTGACAAAATTTGAAAAAGTGACAAGAACTAAAAAAGTGACAAAAAAAATAAAATAAAATAATGACAGTGATAAAGTAATAAAACTTGAAAAGTGGTAAATAATATTTAACAGAGTCTAAATTGCATTATTTGCATGTCCCTTTGATTAAATCTATAATCCTTGTTAAAATCCATTTAAGCAAATTAAAATGCATTTAGAAAGACATTATGGCCTATCATCTCTTCGTTCCTACTGCAAGAACCAAGAAGGTTCCATATTTTCATAAACTTCTCATATTCATGCAATCTTCTTAGTCCTAACTTGTTTAACTTGTTTTCCAAGAGAACGAATCTTAACATGGCCTTACTCATTGCTTTTCAAGAAAGAAAACCAAGTATGCAAACCAAAGTAATAAGACAGAAACTGAATCATACTAATCAAGGACGCATATATCATCATAGAAGCAATTATCTAAAAGTTTTATACCGAACTTCCTCCATTTGGTATTGAAATATGAGAACCAAAAGATGAAGGTATTTTGTACAGGAAATAACTTGGTAATTTCTAAAAGTTAAAAAAAAAAATAACAAACACTAAAAGAGTGAGGAAACACTCAAAAAAACACACAATCTACGTACTTGAAAAAATGGTCAAGTTAAGTATTAACCCACCTGAGAAAATGTCACTTTTTTTTTACTAAACATTACCTTTTAAAGTTATTAAGTGCTACTTTTTAATTAAAAAGTAAACAACCTATAAGTTGGAAGTGTCAGAAATTCAAAAAAAAAGTGGCAATTGTGTATAGAATTAAATAATAGAAGATGATACAATATGCTGTTTGCTAAATATATATTAAAATTTTTGTACTTTCTCAAAACTATTATTCTTGTCAAGTAAGCTATTAAAAAAAACCATATTCTAGTTCTTTACTTGGCTATTTACCATTTACATTAATTTTTAGATGACTAGTTTTATTGACAATTAGTGAAAATGAATAAAGAATCTTCGGTCTTATTAATTTCTTTTCCCGTCACTCTCATCTTCAATCTTCTTGGTCAAAAATCATAGAGAAATTGCACTGCTTTATATATTTATACTTGGACATTGGAAATGCATGCAAATGTCTCAATGACAACAAATTAAACATTATTTCCAATTACTGTGTTATGAATGTCAACTAAGTATCTAAGTAAACTGCTCCCAATCAACGTCCCAATGAAATAACTACTACCACAACAATGTCAAGCACATAATAACAAGAATAAATATTAAAATTCTGGACAAGACTTTAAACGAGGAAAGAGTGGCCTAGAATTCATGACGTAACTTCCAAGGGTGAATAACAGATGATCTGCTATTATTCCAAATAAATTGTAGTTATTCGTGATTACTGCAGTAATAATAATTGAAATAACTTAATAACAAAGGAAATAACAAAAAATTCAAGGATATCATAAACTAAGTTGTCAAACATGAAAATCACATATCCCACACCTTTGCATCTTCACCTTCTATCTTTGTAGAGCTATCTCCTTTTTTAGCCTTTGTCTGATGAAAAAAGCAAAAAGGGGATTTCTTGGCAAATCCCCTTGAAGGAATTATGAAACAGAGGCCATCATTGCAAAACCCTCAATAACGATATAGCCAACATTAATTGCAAAGTCCAATCTTGACAAAACCCCTTAATTGAATTATGGAACAAAGGCATCGGATAAGGTGATTGAGGCATCAAGAATTTAGGAGTTGTGGGTGAGGATTTCTTGAAGCAGAATCGGTGAAGACAATGATGAGGAAAGGCAGTCATGGGTGAGGAGCGTTTCTCTTTAGGGGTGGAATCAAGACAACTGGTTTATGTTTTTGGGGTTTTGGTGGTTTTAGAACGTATAATTTAGTTCTTAAATGGTTTAATTATTTAATAAAGTATTAACAAATTAATAAAAATTTGAGGGTATTGGACCTAATTTGCCCTTACCCTAAATATAACAAATGGAAATTACACAAAATCATACTTTAAGTATTCAACATTCTAAAATCAGATTGGAAGTTTGATATTTTCAAAATCAGATGTTTTTGTTAATTAATATATATTATTAGATAAAATATATTATTAAATTAAACCAAACCCTATCTCCCTCCACCCACCCACCCCTCATTTCCCCCCAAACTCGTCTCTCTCTAACTCCTTTCTCGCCGTTATAGTCCCGTTTCTCTCTAACTCTCCTCTCGCCGCAGTTCTGTGCCACTCTCGCATCTCTCTTCGTCGTACTTCACGTCATCGCCGTTCTCCCGTCTCTCTCTCTTCGCCGCACGTTACGTCGCTAGGAAATCTAGTCGTGACGACTGGTCTGTCGAAATCTGAGCATAATTGATCTGCATTGTGGTGGCTGGTGATGGAGGCCAGTTTCCGGCGGCTGCGCCAGCCAAAGCTCCGGTGCGGCTAAGGTTTCTATTCCGCCTGCTGCTTCACCAACGAAACATAAATCTCCAGGTCCAGTGGTGGCTCCTACTTCAATTCCTGCGGCTTCAGTTCCTGTGAGTTCACCACTGACAGTTTCCACTTCTGCTTCTGTAAGTTCTCCACCGACAGTTTCCACTCTGGCTCCTATAAGTTCTCTACCAACAGTTTGCACGCCAGCTCTAGTGAGCTCGCCTCTTGCTCCTGAGCCAGTTAACTCATCGCCGCTGGCTGCTCCAGTCCAGTCTCCACCATCTTTGGCTCTCGAAGCGACCACACCACCAGTTGAATCTTCTCCACCAGCTCTGGCTTTTGCGCCTTCGAGTGAGACTCCGGCAAAGGCTCGGCTCACAGCAAGAAGCATACTTCTCCTGCTTTGGATCTGGAGTTGATGAGCCCACCCGCACCTCCAACCGAAGCACCAGGCACTGTTGTGGATGTATACAGTATGGTGGTGGTAGAGGTGCGCGGTGGTGGAGCAGATCTGTGGTCGCAACGGCTTTGGGATTATTTCAAATCTATCTCTATTTCTTCTTCATCTTGTTTACTGTCGTGTTGGTGATTGCTGGTACGATGTGGGTGGTGGTGGTGGTATGGGTACGATTGTCGTGTTGTGGATGCTATGGTGGTATCCCGATATGTGGTCGTGGTTTTGACTGTAATAATTTTTTTTTGCGATGGGCTGATTTGTTTGAAGTGGTGGCGACGGCTACGGTGTGACGGTGAGGTGGTGTCGGCTTGTAGGCAGCTGAGGCTGTGTTTTTTTTTTATGGTGGTGGTAAGGTGCAAGCGATGGTCTGGTGGTTGTGGTAATGTGGTGCGGGCGGCAGTTGTTTAAATATGTGGTGTGATTTGTGACCAAGATTGGTGGTGGGGGTGTTTAGTGTATGTGACCACCTATTTTTGGACTAATGTGATCTTAAAATTCGATAATTTATGACTAAAAATTAATCTACGACCAATAAATTTGAAAATATGTGACTGATAATTTTTGATCCGTGACCAATAAAATAATCTGTGACCTATAAAATTATTGATTTGTAACCGATAAAAAATTGTGACCTATAAAATTTTTGAACTGTGACCATAAAATAAGTTGTGACTTATAAAATTTGTGATTTGTGATCAAAGAAAAATATGTGATCTATCAATTGGTGATCGATGGACAAATTGTGACTTACAAANAATAAGTTGTGACTTATAAAAATTTGTGATTAGTGATCAAAGAATAATATGTGACCTATCAATTGGTGACCGATGGACAAATTGTGACCTACAAAGTTTTTGAATTGTGATCGTAAAATAATTTGTGACATAAAAATTATATTTTGTGAACTATAAAATTTTAGATTTGTGACCGAAATTATCTGTGACCTACAAATTTTTTGATCTGTGACCGATAAACAAATTGTGACGTATAAAATTTTTGAACTGTGACCTTAAAATAATTTGTGACGTAAAAAAATTATGATTTGTGACCGAAAAAATATGTGACTAATAAAGTTGCGAATCTGTGACCATATTTTATAAATCTGTGACTTATATAATTAATTAATTAAATCGGAGTTGTTGCCGGAGTTGGAACAATTACCGGAATCGGAGTAGTCGTCGGAACAAAGCTGCGGCGAAACGATTACCGGAATAGTTGCCAGAATATTTTGCCGGAATCGGAACAGTCGCCGAAAAGGTCATCGGTACGGTTGCCGAAAAAGTTGTCAGAAAAGTCACCGGAGAAGACTGGTGGCCAAAACGGTCGTCAGAGTAGTCCCCGGAATTGTAAGGGTGGTGGAGGTGGAGGTGGGGGGGGGGGGTTAGTTATATTATAGTAGAATTAAATATTTAATAAATTTATTTAATAATTTATTATTTCATAAATAAAAATAAAATTTTTTCAAAAAATCCGATTTTTTGAAATTTGAAACTTGTTTTCTTATTCTTGAAATGACACATACTTAACATCTTA